AAAAATGAGCCGAGCTGGGCTCGGCCACGGCTCGTGCTCGGGCTTGTCTCTTGACAAGCCCGAGCGGCTCGTAGCTCGGTGGCAATGAGCCGACGAGCCGGCTCGACTCAATTGCCACCACTACCTACAAGTCAAGTCTACCGCGGTCCTAAAGGTGGTAGGTGGTGCGACCACACATGGCCTCAGCATTGCAAGGGCGCCAAAATTTTTTTATTTTATATATTTTTGGTTCTAGAAGAGTAAACTTTTGTTACACGAAAGAGGCACTATTTTGAGTAGTTTTTTTTTTTTATTGGTTCTTGTAAGTTTTTTGAATTAGATGAACGGGGCATCATTTTAAAATGTCGCACAGGGCACCCAAAATCTTGAGGGCCAACTCGTGTTTAATCTCAATGGGGTCGTCCCAAACATCTCTTTAATCTCAGGGCCGGCTTGGCTCGGCACGAGCACGGGCACGGGTCGTGGGTCGTGGGCGTGAGCTTGGGCTTGAAAGGTTGTGTCCAAAGGACACAACAACCGAAAAGTTGTGTCTTCAACATGCACAAACCATTTAACTTCTATAAATAGGCCACAATACCCTCGGTTTCACTCAATTCAAAATCTATTCTGATTTAATTCATCTTCCGATATTAGTCATTCGTCCCTGCATTATTCATATTTTGCAATCTAGCCTCGAAAAATAATTTTCATGCATTTGAGTCCTCTAACTTTTAGAGAGATCAAAACATCTTGTAATTTGTAGTGCTACTATTACAAGTCAAGGTCGTTATATCTTGGGAGACGAGTGTTGGAATACCGTCAGCACTAGTGCGGGGCATTATTGTCTTAAGGAGAAAGAGTCGAACTCATGCATCGACCATTAACATTTTATAGTATTCACTTTTTTACGTCGTTATTCTGCCTAAGTTAATTCGCGATGATATTATTACTTGCCTACTTCCAACATTCTTAAGACGATAATGGAAAATAATACTGCATCTATCGTACCCCCTAATAATGCTCACGAGAGAGACTAGAAAAATTCACGGGAGTTGATTTTAAGAGATGGCTATAGAAAATATTTTTTTATCTCACGACTCTGAATTTAACAAAATTCTTGAGTGGAGATGCTCCAATTGTTGAGGAGGATAAAACAGATTTTCAAAAACGAGCAACATTCGATGCATGGAATCATAGTGACTTCTTGTGCAGGAACTATATCCTCAATTGCCTTGACAACACACTATACGGTGTATACTATTCGGTTAAGACAACTAAATTACGGTGGGAATCTTTGGAAAAAAGTACAAAACGGAAGATGTCGGGTTGAAGAAATTCGTTGTAGGCAAATTCCTGGACTTCAAAATGGTNACGAAACAGAAGACACCGGATTGAAGAAATTCGTTGTAGGGAAATTCCTGGACTTCAAAATGGTAGATTCTAAAATAGTAATGAATCAAGTCCAAGAGTTAAAAATCATCTTGCACGATATACATGCATGAGGTATGAAGCTCCGTGAGTCATTTCAAGTTGCTGAGATTATCAAAAAATTACCACCAATGTGTAAAGATTTCAAGAATTACCTGAAACATAAACGTAAGGAAATGAGACTTGAAGATTTAATTGTACGATTAAGAATTGAAGAAGATAATCGCAATTTTGAAAATAAATCTGGAAAGCTGCAAATGGAGACTAAAGTCAATTTGGTGGAGCCAAATACTAACAAGAAAATGAAACACTCTGGTAATGGCAAGCA